AGGTACCTCTCATATAGGATCACATATTCGGTGCATTTATACAACGACACGTGTCCTCGGTCACCGTGTAGCTCGGAAACATACCACCCTCGGTCCCCGAGGTGAGTCTTTCCTCGGTGCCGAGGGTCACTCCATCCTGGACGCTTCCTCTACTCCCGGATAAAGCTACTGACGTACGGGACATCAGCCTATGCCAGTCTAGACTATTCATCATGACCTCGTCTTACACAAGTAATGTCAGAACATGCTGGAATACCGACGTCACAGCCAATAAGGGATGGACGCGTGGCAAATAATGTCACATCAGAAGCAGACAAACCGCATGCCGTCGCTGACACGCGACTGGGAAAGCAAACAAATTAATTGCACCCTTCTGTTGACGAGACCGCATTCAATGCGGTAAGGTTCGGATATGAAAGGCAATAAATGCTCCTATTACAGAGCATTTATTGCATCCTTCCCGAAAGGAGCATATTGTACCGTCGGCGTCGACGGCTCAACATTGATTGCTCGGGACCCCGAGCAATCAATTAGAGAAGACATTCCTCATCAAATCAATACACACGCTACCTGTGCCTGATGATCACCTACTGACCACACTGACAGCAATCATGAGCTTCTAAGGTATAAATACTCCTCCCAAAAGGCAAAACCGGTAGGCAATCACAAACCCTCTACTACAAGATATCCTTCTCAGTGTTTTCTCCTTCCTCTCTCTCATTCAAAGACTGACTAGACCGTTGGAGGGGATACGCCGGAAAACACTCCGGCGCCCTTCTAACTTGTTCTCCTTTGTTCCAGGAAAACCTTTCACACATACAGGGTCGTTCGTCCTTTCCCATGATCTTCCCTTTGCCGTTCCAGGTTGCCACCGTACCTTGCAGGCTGTTTCAAGCAGCGTGTTTGGCCACTCAACCGGCTCACCCAAAGTTCACCAGGGGAGAGATCTGTTCCCAATATTTTATACATCGTGCAGGATCTAGCCCGCACAGGTGGTTCACCACGTGCTCCATCCTAAATCTCTGCCTAGAATTTTTCCTTTCATTATTCTCCTGCATTTGCATTCCAGTTGCTGAAATACCTCTTGAATTTCCATTCAATATGTGGATGATATTTTCTGAAGATTATGGGATGGATTGTGGGAGCCAATAGTCCAAAGTCCCCTGGAGACCAGGGTCAGATAAGGTGTTAGATGACATGCTCAGTCTGTGTACATGTCTCACATACCATGTGGTTCAAGTCATTTTTTCTTGCTGGCGCGGCATGCATGCCTCTTCTTCACTCCTTACTCAAAATCACACACCTCAAATGAATACACACATGATTGTATACATGTCCACCATTTGCGCTCTTATTTTTCTGTTCTTTTTCTTTCTCCAAGCATGTATACTCCAACATTTCCCTATCTGATAGGTATTAGATACAAATGTGCATTGAATATATACGAAAGAGGTCAGACCAAATTTGTCTGAGACATAATTGTTAGTATCGTACGATGCGTCACGATACAAGACTAAAATGATACGGATCATAGTTTTGTATCGTTTTTGTGTTGTATCGTCCGATATACGATACGTTTTTACAACATGATACGTGCAAAGTTTGTTTATTTTTATTTTTATTTTTATTTTTTTGTATGGAACGATGTCGTTTTGGACTAGGCAGCCTGATTTTTTTATCCCTGTAACCACTGAAACAACGTCGTTTAAGTAGCTAGGGTTTGCAAAAAAAAATTAAATCCCTCTTTTCCTTCTTTGTTCAGCGAACGTCTTCGACTCCTGCGTGTTCTTCAGCCGATGACGACGATCACAGAAGCTGCCTTTGTTGTTCGCTGTTCAGCCGCTGACAATGATCACAGAAGCTGCCTTCGTTGTTCGTTGCCTTCGAATTGCTGGTCTTCCACGACGATCATAGTAGCCTTCTTTTGTTCTTCCATCTAAGTTGCCTCCATCGAAGTCCAATCTCCATCGAAGCTTCTTTCTTCTTCCTTCTCCAAGTACTCCAACAAACCTTTGGTCCTGTCCTATGCAGTGGAAGAAATGATGTTAATTTATTTACAAAGTCAAATATATTTGTATAAAAATTTCTGAATTTTGACTAATTTTAATTTTGTGAAATAGTGGCATCATCAGCATCCTATTTTCATATAGAAATAACTAAAAAACTTGTTAATGATCCCACATGAGAAAATTGTGACAAAGTAGAAGGATTAAGGTTGAAATTGAAATGCATTCATTGTGCAAATGTCTATTGGGGAGGTATTTCAAGAATGAAAAATCATTTGACAAGTAATTGTAAAGATGTAGCATCATGTAAGCATTGCCCTTAGGAAGTAACTGAATTTTTTAAGCAATTGTTGGATGATAGGGCTTCTTGCAAAGATATGAGTCTTGTGGATTTGAAAAGTAGTGGCAGTGGGTAGTACTACTGTTGATAAAATACAACCAACTACCACCATTACTTTGAATACCATGTTGAAGAAAAAGGGTAGAGAAGATGTATGTTTGGATATGTGTAGATGTTTTTATATTGATGTCCTTCCTTTTAATTTGACAAATGATCCATATTTTGTAAGAATTTTAGAATCTGTTGCATCGTTTGGCAAGGGATTAAAACCTCCATCGTATCATGAGGTGAGAAATTTTTTTTTAAAAATAAACAGATATGATTAATGGTGGATTGATGAAAAATTATAAAGCAGAATAGAGAAAGACGAGTTGTACTCTTTTTTCAGATGGATGGACTGATGGGAAACATCGCTCTATCACTAATTTTTTAGTGAATAGTCCTAGATGAAGTGTGTTTCTTAAAAGTATTGATACTTCAGGAATTTGTAAGAATGCGGATCATTTTTTTCAACTTTTAGATTCAATGGTAGAAGAGATTGGTGAGAATAATGTTGTTCAAGTTGTGACTGATAGTGCATTGGCTTATGTAAAAGCTGAGGAGTTGTTAATGGCAAAGAGGAAAAAGTTGTTTTGGTCTCCTTGCGCTTCACATTGTCTAGAACTTATTTTAACGGATATTGGAGACTTTCATCTACACAAGGATATAATGGCAAAGGCAAGAAAAATCACAGTTTATATTTATAAACATTCTTGAGTGTTAAATCTCATGAGGAAGTTTACAAAGAAAAGGGATTTGGTGAGAGCTTGTGTGACTAGATTTGTCACCTCATATTTAACTTTAAGGAGATTATTTGAGAATAAAATTGGGCTTAGAGCAATGTTTGCTTTTGAAGAATGGCAGAGAAGTCAATACTTTAAGAAGGGAGATGGTGTAAAAGTGATGGATACTAGCTAACCAACTTTTTTGGGGATCAATCTAGTATTGCTTGAAGTGTGTGTTGCCATTGGTGAAGGTGTTGAGGTTTGTAGATGGGGATATAAAGCCTGCCATGAGGTATATTTACGAGGCAATGGACAAGGCAAAGGAATAAATCCAAAAGAATTTTCGTAATGTGAAGAAACACTATGAGCCCATATGGACTATTGTTGACACTAGATGGAACATGCAATTACATAGATCTCTTCATGCAGCTGCCTATTATCTCAATCCAATGTACGATTTAAGTTTCTCAATTTTTATATCATTTTATATCTATATGTTGTATACTGATCAATTATCATTGTAAATCAAAATAACTATTTCAGGTTTTATTACAACGGTAGTGCGGATTATGAGATAAAGATAGGACTTTATCAGATTATTCAGAGAATGTGCACAAGTCCTATTGTGAGAGAAAAAGTTGATAAACAATTAGATATCTTTGACAATGTTGATTTGATGTTTGGAATGGACATGACAATCCAGATGAGGAAGAAGAATCAACCTGGTTAGTGGTAACCTAACTTAAGTTAGTCATTTAACACAATTGCTTAAGTTAGTTAATGCAGTATTATATTGTAATTTTTTATAGCCTTCTAGTGGGAATCATTTGGAGGATGTTGTCCAGAGTTACAACAACTTGCTATTCACGTCCTTAGCTTGAGTTGTAGTTCCAAAGGATGTAAGAGGAATTGGAGTACATTTGACCAAGTGCACTCTAAGAGGAGAAATCGATTAGAGCAACAAAGATTAAGTGCACTTGTGTTTGTGAAGTACAATCTTCGATTAAAGGCAAGACACCAAAAGAGAATACTAGAGGGTGATTCCTATGATCCTATTTCTCTCTCAGATATGGAATCTAATGATGAGTGGATCACTGAAAAAGAAGATGCACTCCTTCCTGAGGACACTACTTGGATGAATGTTGGTGAATGTTTTGAGGTTCAAAAAGGGACTAGTAAAAAGAGAAAGAGAGGTAAATAGTATATAATTAAAATGTAGTGGTTGTTTTTCTTCTTCTCCATTACTTTGAATATATATATATTTTTATATTTTGTATTGCTTGTTTTCTAGTGCCTAGAAATCTTTCTTTAAACAAGAAAAAAGGGAAGCAAATAGTTCAATTTGAAGATGAGGATGAGGATGATGATGAACAAATATAAGAAGTTGAAGATGATGAAGGAAGTGAAGACTTGTTGGCATCCGATCACAATGATGATGATTATGCATTTTCTATTGAAATTGAAGATTGAGTTCAAAATGGATGTTAGAAATTTGGATTAGAAGTTTCTTTAGTGTTTGAAGTTTTAATAAGTGGACTATGGTTGTGAACTTTGTATTATAATATTAGTGAACTATGTTGATGACTTGAATAGTTGGTAGAGTATTAATGAAATCAGTGTTTTGAAAAGCACGGTTAGGTGAGAAGTGAGGCAAGGCAAAGGTATCTCGCCTGGAGGACTCTAGGCGAAGCGAATGTGGCCGAAGCGAGCAAAAAGTGAACAAAGCAAGCGCCTGTCGATAAGGCGAGCGCCTTAATTGTCCCAGACGATTTTTTTTTATTTTGATTATGGGTCGTTGATTAGGCAATTGGGAAAAAAATTTTAAGACATGGATACACCGAATTGTTCCCTTATCCCATAAATACAACCCAAACCTAATTTTTTTTGCAGATTGTCTTCGCTGGAGCTTTGCTACACGATCGTTGGAGCTGGAGTGCTGGACCATCGCCGAAGCTGTTGGACCATCGTTGGAAACAGGGAACACGATCGCTGCACTGTTGACCACTACTGCTGCTTCCTCATCGACACAGGAAACAGATAAGTCTCTTCTTCTTTTCCTTTCTATTTTTGTCTTCTTTCTTCTTTTCCCTGCTATTCTTTTCTCACATCGATAGTCTGTGTTTTTTTTTTCTGATAAGCAATGCTCCGAACAAAACACATTACTTTTTTTTTAATTGATATTTATGGAATTAAACGTTTAAAAAAATTATACAAACAGATGAAAACTCAACACTTAATGCATTCAATACATGTGAATTTTTTTTTTTTTTTGATACATGTGGAATATGAAATTGTTTACAGTTGTTATGAAATGTTATTTAGTACATGTGAATGTGCCCTTGTTTTGCTTTTTTTATTCAATACATATGAAATTGTTTACAATTGATTCTGCTCCTGTCATGATCATTATGCTTCTGTTTTTTTTCCTCATTCTGCTTCTATCCTAATTCTGCTTCGGTTTTGCTGTCCTGTGCTGCTTCTATCCTCATTCTGCTTCTTGTTGTTGCTGATTCTGCTGCTGTCCTGATTCTGCTTCTTTTGTTGTCCTGTCCTATCAATATGAAAATGTTTACAACTGTTATGAAATGTGTTTCAGTACATATGAATGTGTTTTGTTCCTTTGATTGTAATGTGATAGTGTTTTTCATAAACAAATAAATGGCATCGTCGTCTGAAGGGAACAAAAAAGATCCGGCATGAAAATATGCACACTTGGTAAATCCTCAAGACCCAAACAAGGTCAAATGTAATTTTTGTGAAAAAGAGTCAAATGGAGGTGTCTATCGGGTCAAACAACACCTTACGGGGAACTCTACGAGTGTTATTACTTGTCCAAAATGCCCTGCTCATGTTAGGGAGGAGATTAGAGAATACATGGCTAAAAAAAAGGAATAGAAGAATCTAATGAACATGGTTCCCTATTTTGATGAGATGCCTAATGACTTGGAGGAGGATGAAGATGATATTGTAGAGATTGTTGCGCATCGTAAAAGATCCATGGCTAGTTCTAGTTTAGGTTCTACACAAGTTACATCCTAACAAAAAAATCCAAGACAAAAAGGGCTTATGAATGTATACTTTACCCCTGATCCGAATCTTGTGGTGCAAAATTGAAAGGCCAAGGGGAGACAAATGAATATTGATGCCAATGATCCTTTTAGAAAGGAAATGAGAGAAAGAGCCATCATAGCATTTGCCTGATAGATGTATGACACGAGAATGCCCTTTAATGTTGTGAACTATGAAAGTTTTGCAGCAATGTTTGAAGCTATTGGACAATATGACCCTGGTTTGAAACCACCTTCTTACCATGAGGTTCGGGTCCCACTGCCCAACAAAGAAGTAGGGCATATCAAGTCATTGATGAAAGATCACCAAGAGGATTGGACAAAATATAGATGTTCCATAATGACTGATGGATGGACTGACAAGAGAGGGAGAACTTTCATTAATTTCTTAGTGAATTGTCCAAAAGGGACCATGTTCTTTGAATCCACATGCCCTACTTCTTTGTTGGGCAGTGGGACCTGAGCCTCATGGTAAGAAGGTTGTTTCAAATCAGGGCCAGATTGTCCAATATCTTCAAACATTGCTACAAAACTTTCATAGTTCACAACATTAAAGGGAATTGCCGTGTCATACATCCATCGGGCAAATGCTGTGATGGCTCTTTCTCTCATTTCCTTTCTAAAAGGATCGATGACATCAATCGTCGTTTGTCTCCCCTTGGCCTTTCGATTTTGCACCACAATATTCGGATCAGGGGTAAAGTATACATCCATAGGCCCTTTTTGTCATGGAATTTTGTTTTTTGGATGTAGCTTGTGTAGAACCTTGACTAGAACTAGCCATGGATCTTTTACGATGCTCAATAATCTCTACAATATCATCTTCATCCTCCTCCAAATCATTAGGCATCTAATCAAAGTCGGGAACCATTTCATTAGATTCTTCTCTTCCTTTTTTTAGCCATGTTTTCTCCAATCTCCTCCCTAACATGAGCAGGACATTTTGGACAAGTAATAACACTCGTAGAGTTCCCCGCAAGGTGTTGCTTGACAAGATAGACACCTCCATTTGACTATTTTTTACAAAAATTACATTTGAACTTGTTTGAGTTTTGAGGATTTATCAAGTGTGCATATTTCTATGTCGGATCTTTTTTGTTCCCTTCGGACGACGATGACATTTATTTGTTTATGAATAACACTATCACACTACAATCAAAGGAACAAAACACATTCACATGTATTGAATCACATTTCATAACAGTTGTAAACATTTTCATATTGACAGGACAGGACATGACAACAAAGAAGCAGAATCAGGATAGCAGCATAATTAGCAACAAAAAAAAAGAAGCAGAATGAGGATAAAAAAAATAGAAGCAGCACAGGACATCAAAATTGAAACAGAATCAAGATAGCAATAGAATTAGAAAAAAAAATAGAAGCAGAATGAACAAAAAAAAAAAAAACAGAAGCATAATAATCATGACAGGAGTAGAATCAATTGTAAACAATTTCATATGTACTGAATAAAAAAATCAAAATAGGGGCACATTCACATGTACTAAATAACATTTCATAACAATTGTAAACAATTTCATATTTCACATGTATCAACCAACAAAAAAAAAAAATTCACATGTATCGAATGCATTAAGTCTTCAATTTTATATGTTTGTATAATTCTTTTAAACGTTTAATTCCATCAATATCAATAAGAAAAAAAAAGAATGTGTTTTGTTCTGAGCATTGCTTATCAGAAAAAAAAAAAAAACTGACCAGCGATCGTAAAAAAAAAAGCTATCAGTGCTTAAAAAATAAAAGAGACTATTAATCGAAGACGAATTAGAAAAAAAAAATAGAATCGATGAGGAAGGAGTAGTAGAGAGAAGACGAAAAAAGAAAAAAACAGAAATAGAAGAGAGGAGAAGAAGAAGAGACTTACCTGTTCCCTGTGTTGGTGAGGAAGCAGTAGTAGTGGTCAACAATGCAGCGATCGTGTTCCCTGTGTCTAGCAATGGTCTAGCAGCTCCGGCGATGGTCCAGCATTCCAGCTCCAGTCCAGCTCCAGTGATCGTGTAGCAGAGCTCTAGCGAAGACAATCTGCAAAAAAAAATTAGGTTTGAGTTGTATTTATGGGGTAAGAGAATAATTCGGTGTATCCATGTCTTAAATTTTTTTTTTTCCAATTACCTAATCAACGACCCATAATCAAAATAAAAAAAAAAATCGCCTAGGAGGATTAAGGCTCGCCTTGTCGCCTGTTGCATAAGCAATAGGCGCTCGTTTTGTTCTCTTTTTGCTCGCTTCGATCACATTCGCTTTGCCTGGAGTCCTCCAGGTGAGATGCCTTCGCCTCGCCTCGCTTCTCGCCTAGGCGAGCTTTTCAAAACACTGGCTCTAATGATTAACATGTTGAAATGAGAAATTTTTTGAAAATGAAGTGGGAAAATATAAGGTCATGAAAATAGTAGATGCAGATTTTTGGTGAAGTTTTATTTACAAACATACTTGGTGTGTCACCAAGAAGGGCGGTGAAGGGCTGCAATAGACCACGAGAATTTTCAGCTTTAGTTTGAATTGCTCACAGCTTAGAGGCGGCAACCATCTTCATAGCCTTCGTAATTTTCTGGATGTTCTTAACACTCTTCATCCGGTTTTGGACTGCATTTACAATTGAAATTATGAGCAATTGAGGAGTAAATTTACCAAAAATAAGTCTGATATCACCATGGAAAATGTAGCGAATACGAAAGAGTGACTCTCACCAATTTGAGTTGAAATACAACGAACTCAAAGGGTGGCCTGCTCCTTGTGCACCCATATAATTTTTTTGCATTAATAACTGGCAACCAAGGTAGATACAAAACTTCATAAAAGGTAAAAAAGTGCAGAAAAACACCAACGAGAGCATTGCAAAAGACAAAGGTAAAAGTTTAATTGAATAAGGCAACACATGTCATTGTGTAAAGTCTTTAACTTAATAGTGGATAGGAGACAAGCCCAAGAGCCACTCCTCCAGGTGTTCATCTATCTAATATTAATTAACAACACAATCCACATTTTATCCTAATATGGATTTTATTTATCATATCAATCTCATCCCATTTTGCAATACTAACTAAGAACTTTTAACTTCGCTTCCCCTAGTAAACTTCTACCTTTTGTCCCTTTTTTGGAAACAATAAGTTTTAGTTCACTACCTCCATCATCCTTCTCCATCCAATCTATTTATATGACCTAGCATATTTAGATTACAAAATGTAATTAGGAATATTAACACATAAAACAATGAAGTTAGTAAAGACTATGATTAGAATGAAACTTAATATAACATGCTTACAAGAAACTAGACAATTAAGGGATAATGCAAACAGAAAATATTGGGTAACAAACCAATTAAACTGGAAAATATAATCATAGAAGTGACTAATGGATTATAGAAGCTAATAATACTAGACAATGTATAGTTGTTAGAAGAAAATGAGCTAAAATCATACAATATAAGTTAAATTTTGCACAAACCCTTGACATTCACCAGAAATACATGAGCATCGCTCACACTTGAAAAATGACATGGAGATAACAATCAAAATTTGTAATTGGTTTGGGAGTTTGAGTTAACGGAAATGGGGAAATGACTAATTTAATTTCCATTTACCTTGAACTAAGATAGAAAGAGAAATCAAAATCATTAAATTAGTTCACACATTTACAGTTTCAAACTCGAAATATATGCCTCTTAAACAAAACCCCACCTAATCCCATTCGTTTGTCTATGAGAGAGAGACACATAGAGAACACTCCAACCTATCATCTCCGCCCCATCTACCCTTCGTCACCCCCACGTCATACTCAGTGTAGTTTTTCGTCAACCAGCATCGACTTGTTTGAGTATTTTGTGATCTGATTGCTCTATGGCCTTTAGATATTTCAAAAACCTCAGTTTTATCCTGCCATTTGAAGACGACATTTTGTGTACTACTACAGGTGATCTCTCACAATCAATCCACATGATTCAATTGCAAAAAAATCAGTTATCGTTAGACAAAATCCCCAAAAAATTGAAAAATTTTCCAAAAATGCTTTGCAAGTGATGAGCTTCG